ATTCAGTTCAGGTAGAAATATATGACGAGACAGGTCTGTAGTAATTGCCTCTCTCTTTCCTAATGGAAAGACCTTTTCCCCCCCAGTCTAGTACAATTAGTTAAATACTCAAAAGCACCAAAACAGAAATCTTTTCTCTAGATCATGTCCTACAAGTGGTTTGTTTTGATCTGAAAGACCAGGACTCAGTTCAACTAAATAACAGACGTCTGACAGATGAATTCTCTGTAATGGCTTATTTTTTCTGCCTGCACGTTGCACGCCTTTTCCATTCAAGACTGAAATACCTATTTTTTCTATGCCAAGTTTTCCCCATTTGTTATCACTACTGGGGAAATGGCAATATGGTACTATGACCTGTCTACCTGCCTGTCACTGCCACTGCTCTGGCGTCCTGGAAGCTCAATTTATAATTGGTTTTGTATATATATAACTATAGTGATATATAGTGACCATGTAAGTGGATAGATGAATGAATGGGTCATGTTCATTGCAGTCTATTAGAGCAGAAGGTGTAGATAATAAAGATCCATGTTATAAACAAAGTCTAGACCACCATGGAGGGAGAGAAAATGTTCTTTACAAGGCTCATTCCTGATCGCAGGCCATAAGCTGTTTTTTTCTGATTATGTTTACTACTTTTCTGATCAGTAATGAAGCCAAAATGGTTCTAATGGTAGGAAAAGCTTTTGTACATCTCCCTAAATATTACTTAGATGTTAAAATTCTGGTCAATTCAGCTTTAGCACAGAGAGGTACCTGTTTTTGCTAGATATGACCACCTCAGTAAGTGAGGTGGAAAGGTGTAAAATTGGCCAGCATTCTTTGTACAAATGTTCACTTTCAGTAAGCTCTTTGTTAAATTTTGTTAGAGATTTTGATCTTGGTACTTCTGGAAGAACTCCCTGTAGGCCTTAGATTTCAGTTTCTGACTTCCTGGAGTTGCAAGCTTATATGGTAGCCTAATTTTTGTTGGCACTAAGCAGAGTGCACAGAAGCCTCATTTGGAAATAAAACAATATCCTTGGGAGGGCCATGCAGTCTTTGGAAGAAACTACTGACTTCAAAATTATAATTCAAAGGAGGCTCCAGTCACACTTCTTAGGGATCAAAAGGGTTTGGTGGGATTTGGAAAATCCTTCCTCAATCAAGAACCAAGACAAGTGATGATGGATTCTTCTTAAAGTCACTTTTTACATTTCATTTCCAGTAACGTTCCTAGTAATATATAACTCTCAGGGCACATGTTCTAATGTACTAAATGCTCAGTTCTGCCCCTAGCGGTTTATCTGCTTTAATTTATCATATGATGTAGGTATCATCCTCCCCATCCTCTGGATGAGTTGAGTCTTAAGAGAGTTTACATAATTTGTCCAAGATAACAGTAAAAAAAATGGAGAGGCATCGTTAGTTCTGTTTGACACCAAGGCCTACAATTTGATTAGCACATTCTACTAAAGAGGTTCTCTGGATTAGCGTGTCTGTACACCTTTAATATTAGTCACAGAACTTTATTGTGGGTGGAAAGTAATATTTTAAAAATATCCTCTGCCCATAGTTGCTCTATGGAATGGGCCCCTGAATCGGGTTGTACCTCTGGCTACCAGTCATCCTTATTTTCCCTAAATGTCTTCAATTTTTATTTTCTTTGTGTGTGTCTATTTTCTTTCCTTTGCTGGTTTTCCAGTTCTTCAGGCTGCTTGCTTGATATTCCTTCAGTGTTTTTCTCCCCTTTCCTCAGGTCCAATACCCAGTCATCCATCAAATGCTTATTAACTAAATGATTCCTTCGATACTAGAATATTCCCAAGAAGAAAATTGCTTCGTTTAACTTGTTCAAGTGTTTGTTTCTAGTTATTTTTAAATTAAGTTTATTGGGGCAGCATTGCTTAATAACGTTATATAATTTCCAGGTGTATAAGGTTATAGTTCCACATCTGTGTCCCCTGCTGTGGGCTCAGCACCCGAAGTCTAGTTTCCTGCCACCATATGTTTGAGCCCTTACCCCAACACCTCAGGTCACCCCACCCTCTCCCCCTTGGATAACCCCCACTGTGGCTGTGGCTGTGTTTTCGTTTTGGAAGTTATTCTTCTCACACTGGAAAAGAAATCAGAATCTGGAACTTGAAGGAATCTGAACCTTAATGCCTAGGCCAAACTGACGATCGCATAATCTGTCCTGTGCCAGTTTCTTGGGTTACCCGAGGAGCATGTGTGCAAAGAGCAGCGGTCTTCAGGTGCATGTGGCTGGGCGGGGACCGCTTTCGGGGACGCTTCGGGACCTCCGGGGCCTCAGTTGGCTCGTCTGCTGCGTGAGTGTGTGCGGGAGGATGGGCATGGTCCGCTCCGCGTGGCTGTCAGTGCAGCGGCTGGGCTGAGGCCTATCTGATGGGTTGGCCGACTAATGCCGACCTTGGTGCAGGGCCAGAATCGGGTGACAATTCAGACACAGTTTTTTCCTCGCCTTTGTCCCTCAGATTCTGAGGCTGGCCGAGGGAAGTGAGGCATGGGCAGTGTGTGCACATATACCTGGCGGGAGAACGCTAGCCTGATGGATTCAAAACAAATTTAAAAACGAATACAAAGGATAGAAATAATTATAGCATTTATTGAGCCCTTAGTGCGAGAGACTGTGTTAAGAATTCTCACAACTCTTGGTTATATATGTTGCTATACTCATATAGATGAGTTATACTCACTACAGATGAGGAGACTAAAGCATAAAAAATGTAAATAACACATCTCAGCTCACTTAAATCCCAAATGTTTCGATTTGTATTTGCATCCATGTCATTTGACAACAAGGTCTGTTAATTCCAACATATGCTCTAGCTATTCTTTAATTTCTTATGCTTTCATTTATTAATGCAAAATACTTTGATATAGTTATTCGTTAATTCGGTGTATTCTACTTTATATAATTTGCAGAACTTTAAATATTTATCATAGCATTCAAATGTTAGACATTCATTTTCTAGAAGGTCTTTTGAATATTGTAAAATAATTTCTCACTATAAAAATTCTCATTTTTAAGAGAGGGGAGGGGTTAAATTTCTAGTAGCAATGCTTTTTAAAAATATTTAAAGTTCTTCATGTTATCCAGTGCATTCTCATTTTGGGGGAAAAATTTACTTGGCCTGATAAAAATCCCCTAAATCGATTCCAAATTGTTTATCTAAACATACAATGCAGATAATATCTGCTCTGATACTACTTAAAGTATCTTGCTGTATTCATTGTTAATGGCTGTAATGTTCCCAGTTTTAAATAATGCAGGTGATGTTGGCTTGATGTGTGATTAATTCTGTTCCCAGGATGTGGCTAACAACAAAGCTACTCAAAATTAATGACTATTCTCACCTGCCACAGTGCAGATATACAAACTGGGAAGTAATATGCGTGCATCCATTGTCATCTTAGCTAATTCCTTGGATCTAAATCATTAGATAGGTTTGGCTTTCTAAAAACTGTTATTCAGATTGACTTGTTTGTTGTGCTCAGAATAAAGAGAATAATTCAGAATGTAAGAATGGGTAACTAAAAGGAACCCCTATGTACAGTGACCCTGTACTGGAGTAGTTTATATATATATATATAAAGAGTTTTAACAATGTTGATCCTAAGCTGCAGTCTGTTTATTCCTTGTAACTTGGTAAATTTTAAAGAGCTGTAATAAAAATGATCCTACACAATGGTTTCTTTAAGATCATGAACTGAGCAAATGCTCATTAACACGCACGAGGTCCAATGACACCATGCCAAGTGTGAGTGGGCAGTGGGCAGGCTGATCAAAACTGCCCGGGGCATTTACAGTCAACATATCCCTGGGTTTCTCCCCCTGAGATGCTGATACAGCAGGTCTGAAGTCATGCCATGGAATTTCTGTCTTCTCATAGACATCTATGGTTAGGAATCAGTTTAGAATAGTTTTCAACTGGGGGCAGTGTTTGGCAGTGTCTGGAGTAATTTTGGTTTTCACAACTGGGAGGGTATGTGTGCTACCAGTATCTAATGGGTAGCAGCCTGACATGCTGATAGATATCCTACAACACACAAGAAACACTCATGTACCCACACACACACAAAAAAAATTTTCAATCTAAAATGTCAATAGTGACAAGATTTAGAAATGCTCTCCTAGAGAATGTAAAGATATATTATGAGAGTCTATAATTAAAGATTAATAAAAGATGTTCAAATGTATTATTCATAATTAAATAAGTTATTAGTCCAAACATCAAACAAAAAGCAAAATTTTATAAATGTTTTAGTTATTTTACGGTATGACTAGAGACAGTCTAGTTCACAAAGTATGTGAAAGGAACTTGGGAGAGTTCTCTATCTGCAATTGGTAGTGGGGATTATCTGAATCAGTATGCCTGTATTTGAAAAAAAGTTAAGATTTTTAACTGTTCCTGAAATTTTAATAAGGAGAAAAAAGTTTACTTATTGGCAGCAGAAATTCTTTCTTAAATGCTGTGAAGTGAACACAGGACCACTTCTATAAGTGACATTTAAACAAGCAAACTGACAAGAAAATCTAGGAAGGCTTCAGATGTTTCTGTGGGTTTGTTCTTTTTTGTCTTCATATTACTCTCTTACGGGTTCTCTTACCTACCTTTGTATCATCCCTAGGGATCAGATGCTCATAAACAGGACATATATAATAAATTACTGAAAGTTATTTCGGTTGCTGTCAGTATGGGGTTTGGATTAATAATGTAACCAATTAACTCCTCAAATACCTCCACTGGCAGCAATAGCCATTAAATTTTTAGAAGTGTGGGTAGCTCTGTTGAACACCTTTTGCAACCACAGTGATAACTAAATTTTCACATGTTAGGGGATTCTGCTCTTTTTGCCAAAGAACCAGCAGCAGACTGATTTACTCAAAATAATAAAATAACCCATGTGTGTANTCTTTTTGCCAAAGAACCAGCAGCAGACTGATTTACTCAAAATAAAAAAATAACCCATGTGTGTATTTTTTTTTTTTTTAGCTGTCTCATGCATCTCTGATGACAACCAGTCGGCAGAAATGACTGAATGCCTCAAGCAGGCAAACATGCCCCCCCTTGTGCAGGAATGCACCGTCCCATGTCGGGACGACTGCACCTTCACTGCTTGGTCCAAGTTCACGCCCTGCTCCACAAATTGCGAAACAACCCGAAGCAGAAGGCGACAGCTCACAGGTAAGGTGACTTTTCATGGCTTAGCTTCACAGCGGTGATGCATGCCTGAACTTCCCAAGGACAATGGAAGCCCTAGAAAGAGGAAATGGTACCAGGTCCCCTGCTCCCCGACCCTTCCCTGCCATTCTGTCCCCTCTGTGCCTGTGCTTAGCACATCCTATGTACTCAATATTTGTTAAATGAAGGATCAGTGGGAACCATTCTGTAGCTATGGACTTCTCTGTACAGCTTTATAATCTTTGTAGTAGTCATAAATGGCAATATATTTACCAACTTTCCTGGAATGGTTAATGGCTAAATTTTCTGGTGTTTGCCATGCCAGGATCTCAGCAAGGTTGAAAGCAGTAATTATTTGTAAAGAACATCAAAGTTATATCTAACTTATGTCATCATCTTCTGCTATTACCTTATGAGCAATTTAACATTTTGAAATTTTAGTAGTGTGAAGTAAAAATCAAGTTGCATACATAGATTCTGCTTTTGTGGTATATTATTAGTTATTGATTCTGTTTGCATCCATGAAATTTAATGGAAATGAAAGCAATCACTAGTTTAATCAAGGTCCTGGAGGATTTTTTGCCTGTAATATACAAATACTTGAGGCAGTAGTGTATTTTACTACTTGTCTAGGTAAATATGCCAGAACTTCTCTTAATTATACATGTACTTGTATATGTAGAAAACTTAATTCAGGGAATGGAGAACCAAAGGAAAAATGCCAAAATAATCATTGGGATAATAAAATTGGTGTTGACAGTGAAGAACCCAGTACAATGACCATTTGTTATCAGCAGTTCAAGTGCTAATTCTCTTGTTTTCAAGACCCCTTTGTTTGAATGCATTGCTTATGAGTGTTTTAAATTTAAGTCACTCCAATAGATTTACTTAATGGGTGAGAGCATTTAACAGTATTTCTGCATACAAATCAGGAGCCCATTCATAAGTGAAGGTGAAAGTTATAATCACATATAGGAACATCCAATAAAATAAGCTGTACTTTGTGCTCTCTCCTCTACNGAGCCCATTCATAAGTGAAGGTGAAAGTTATAATCACATATAGGAACATCAAATAAAATAAGCTGTACTTTATGCTCTCTCCTCTACAAAAAATCTTTGCTTATATAATTTTAAGCAACATTGCTTATGTTTCTAAGATTAAACAATATAACAGGATACATAATGGGACAGGAATAATTTCAAGTTCAGGAGGCGACTCAAGTGAAACTTGGTTTGCATGTTCATCCATAATGCTTTATATCTTAGGGATGAGCAAGAATCTCCTATAGAGGGGGCAAAAAATTTTAATTAGAGACCAGTTTTTCTGTCTTGAAGTTTACCCTTGATATTTTATACTTGCAAACTGAAAGGAAAATATTAAAAAATTTGGATTATTTTTTTCATTTTACAACCAGCATAGTTTATTGTGAATTGTCAAAATTTTAATGAATTTAACTTATTTTTTTAACTTATTTTAAAAATATTTTATGAAAATATTGAACTGTTGAACATTTTTCTGCAAACTCTATCTTAAAAATTACTTGTACTAAAAATGTATTTAGAATTTATTTTCTAAATTATTAACTGCTATGCTTTTAGCTGGCTAAATGATCTTTTGTGTGTCTTAATATCTAAGTTACACCAAAACAACTGGTCAATTTAATACATGAGTTCTGCAAAAATACTAGTCAAATAAATTATTTATTATTGTTGTTGAAAAAAAGGGTAATGAATTGAAATTTTCAACTTCTGAAGCTTATTTTGATTGTGACATAATGCATGCATTTTGTTTTCTTCCATATAATTTGGTAGTAAACTTACTAAGCAATCCCTAACATGAGTGACAATAAAAGGCATGAACTCAGACCACAAAACAATGTGACTCTTTAACACACTGCCCATGGAGAAGCACACACACAAGTACAGGCCCCTCTACATTGAATAGGGGACTATCCAGGGTGTTTGTTTTTCTTTTTCCATTTCTAACAGGAGACTTCAATATCTGGGTGTGTTTTCTGTTTGTTTTTTTTTGGAGTTAAAACTCCTTATTGTCCTGTCCAGGGAGCCCACACACAGGAATCTGTGGGGCAGGGGTGAGGGGCAGCACAGGCCCTTCCCACGATTCAAAGAGAAGAGGGAGCCATGGTAGGTGGGAGGAAACCGCTCCCCTTCAACTCCCCGTTGGTGCTGCTGCTCTGATGGCCCCCACATCTTGGACCCAAGGGGTGCCATCACCAACATGAGGCCCACACCTGGCACCAGGGCCAGGCTTTGTTTCCACTGCTCTGATCTACAGGGTGTCACTCATCTCTCCAGCCTGACTGGGGGAGCCCTAGCCCCAAATTGCAGGGGGAGATGGGCCCAAGTGCTCAGAGGCCCTGGAAGAATGGGAAGAGGGGGCTGCAAAGTCCGGAGGGCCCGAGGAGATGGGCCACAAACTACCCCTAGTGCAGCTTCTGGCCAAAGGGGAGCCCATGCGGCACTCCTGGACCATTCTAGAGGCTAGTGGTGAGGCCCCAGGGCAGCTTAGCTTATGGAGACTTCCTAGTGTACCCTGCCCACCCCAGGACCAGAGCCCTGGCAGGAGGACAGGCTCCAAATCCATCTCTGGCCCCATCTGGTGGATCCAAAGTTCCCCACCATGCACCAAACTGAGGCAGAGGGAGTCCAGCAGGCAGCACAGGAGCAGCTCTACAGAGGGAAGCTAAAACCTTTCCAACAGAGGAACAGAGAGGGTGCCTCAAGCACTGGGGTCACCAGCTGGGGAAGGAAGGAACAGGGAACTTCTGAGTGACAGTGAGACACAAGACGCAACTAAACACCCCTAGCCCCTGCTCACCCTCAGCCCTATTCCATCCCACTTAGCCCAGACCCCTGGGTCAAAACCAGCAGCAGGCCCATCCCTACCTTTTGGGGTGAGTTGTATCTAAACAAGATCATCACAGGCCTTAGATATAGTGGTAATCAAATCAGTGCTTTATATAATGCTGGAAATAATCCAGTACATAGAAGATACATCCAGGTTTTAATATATATAATAACTGGATGACTAATACACACATATTTAATACTTTAGTTCTGTGATTTTTTATGGGATCAGTCAAAAATTTCCCTCTGACTTAAGGAGAAAAATGTCTCTAGAGTTATAGTAGTGATTGATTTTTTAAAAAATTATTAGTAGCTGATTCGAATCCAAAGGTTAATGCTGCTTTTGACTAGAAAGTAGTCAAAGTAAAGATCACTGATAAGTTGTTCCTTATTGTGAGAACCATTTCTGCATTAACTAACTTGCTCAAATCCTTCAGTGATGGCATGTAATTAAGAAAGATCATAAATACAGAGACAGTATATATTGTACAGAATATTTGTTCTGCCAGGAACTTTCAGTTGCCTTGTAGATGAACATTTTCTTTCTTTCTCTCTCTCTCTCTCCATCTCAACCTCTCTTCCTCCTTTCTTCTCCCTTCTTAAAATGTTCTTGTTTCAATGATACTATGAACATTTTTTGTTTACCACTTACATGTGCTAGGCTTTGGGCATACTGCAAGGGAATCAGATAGACATGATCCTAACTTAGAGCTTACAGCCTAGTGGGAAACAGAGATTTTACTAGTATAGTACCTGCTCAGTGTAGTGCAGCACAGTGGAGTACCTGCTCCAGGAGCTGTTATAAAGGGTGAGGTATTGCTTTTGTATTGCTGCTGTTACAAACTACCACAAATGTGTTGGCTTAAAACAATACAAATTTATTATCTCACAGCTCTGTAGGTCTGAAGTCAGACATGGGTTTCATGGGGCTGAAAACAGGATCTTGGCAGGATTGAATTCCTTTATAGGGGAAAAGCTCTTTTCTTTCCTTTCCTTTTCTGGCTTCTGTAGGCTGCTCACATTCCTTGGCTCATGACTCTCCTTTCCCCCATAATGAAATCTAGTGACATTGCATCTCTGTGACAACTCTTCCATAGTCATATTTTCTCTGACTTTCCAGTCAATCAGAAAAGGTCCTCTGATTTTAAGATGATGTGATTAGGTTAGTTCCACCCAAAGAGTCCAGACTAATGTCATCTCAAAGTCTATAATCTTAATCACATCCGCAAAGTTGATTTTGCCATCTAATGGAGCATGATTACTAGTTCAGGGCTTATGATGTGACCAGCCTTGGAGAAGCATTATTCTGCCTACCACTAAGTACCACTAGAACACCCGGTCTAGACCTGAGATGCAGAGGGTGTTCACGATGGCTTCCTGGAGGGAGTAATCTACTAGTTTGGACCTGACGGGCATGTAGGCATTAACTAGGCTGTGGAGGATGATAGAACTGGTGAGAATGTCTGGAGTAGAGCATGCAAAGGCAAGAAATCAAGTGAGTAATTTCTAGGAACTGAAAGATGCTCAATATTACTAGCTTGCAACATGTGTCGACACAAGAAATGTCCAAACCTAAAGAGAATTTTTATAAGAGTTTGAGACAAAAACTGACAACATATGCCAGGGAGCAGGATCTCTAATGCTCCAGAGAATAACAGTTTTGCAGTTTCTTTTATGCATTTGAAATTGAGAACATAAAGATTATATGAGGTAGAAAAAAGCTAGGCAGGAATTGGATTTCAAGGTTATGTGCTTTCTTAAGGGTGGTTACATCTTCGAGGGGTTCTTGTTATGTCATCTCAAAGGTGTGTCAACCTAGATTCACAAAAACAATGGACTTGCTTAAACAAGGTTTGCTTAAAAACCTTTCACTGAAGAAGTTCCAGGCCTGGGCATGACTATCCACCATGCCCAGCCTAGTTAGTTTATGAATATTACAGCACCCCATTTTCATCCACACACGCCAGAAGCAGAGTGGTTCAACACAGGCAGGAGGCAGACACTTACGGGCTCAGATCCTATGGTCCTTGATAACCATGGTGAGAAGTCCAGATTTCATTCCATGAACTGATGAGTCACTGGAGAGTTTAAGGTAGATGAATGATGTGATGAGGTTTCAGTCTTTGTAAGCTGGTCCTCTCTGCAGTGTGGGGAACAAATTGAAGGGAGTGAGGTACAGTGGCAATAAGATTTTGGAAGAAGCCGTTGTAGTGATTTAAGCTGGTGATTTGGAGATGAGCTTAAATATGGGTAGTTTTTGGTTAGAATGGAAACAATGGACTAATTCAAGAGAGATTTTGGTATTTGAAATCACAAGTTTTTGTCATTAAATAGATATAGGTAATATAACAGAATGATTCGACTATGACATTTCCAGATTTTGACTTGGTCATGTTGATATAACTGGGAAATGCAGAAGAAGGAAAGATAGCAGTACCAAGAGGATGAGTGTGGGTTTTGCCAGGTTGAATCTGATTAGTCTTTTAGGCATAGATTTCTAGTCTGTGGCTCAGAAGCTTGAGCAAGAAATATGGGCTGAAGAAAATAATGAGGGATTTAAGAGTTCTAGATGGTTATTTAAACATTTTGTATGGGTAAAGATTAAGGGTCAGAGAAGATGAGAATCTAAGGCAGTGCCTCCAGGAATCCCATCAGTTCAGGGAGGTACAGAGGGAGAAAAAATAAAAAACAATAAGGTGTGCCCAGAGGGATAGTGGGGGTGTGGGGTAGGGGTGAGGGACAAAAGGTAAGGTGTGATGGAACTTGGAAAGGATATTTTAAGAGCGATAAAGTCATGTTCTGAACTATCTTTGAACAACCAAGTCTGAAATATAAGGGATAAAAGATATTTCAGGGCTTTGTTTTATTACTTTGGCAAGAGGAAGTAGTTTCAAGCAATAGGTAGACTCAGAATCCAGGGTTAAGTGTGTTGAGAAGACAGTGGAAATAGCAGAGATGGAGACAATAATACTTTATGGACATTTGGGAAATACCAGAGATTTGGGTAAGTTAAATGATGATGGAAAGGATCCAGTCCAGTTGATATATTTCTCAACCAGTAAATTTTCATAGCCGTAATAGGGACTGTGTTTTTCAAACATATTCTTAGGAAGTGCCCCTAATTGGGAGAGGCAAGTGAATACATTCTCCCAGAGGGACAGTGGTGTGTCTGAAGCTTCTGCAGGATTATTTCGGGTCCTGTAGGAATCCTTCTTGTTTGTTGTGGCCATAATCATCAGGGAAGGCCCTGGCCTGGTTGTCCCGATACATTAACAATGTGACTTTGCTCCCAGGTCAGGGCACATACAGAAAGCAACCAATGGGAGCATGAATAGGTGGAACAACAAATCAATGTTTCTCTCGATTTCTCGCTCTCTCTCTCTCTTTCATCAATCAATAAACTTTTTTTTTTTTTTTTTTTTTTAAAAAGCATCAGGGAAGGCCACAAAGCCAATCATCAGGTGACAACTATAGAATTGTTGTGTGTAATATAAACTGTAAGACAAGGAGAATGCAGCCCATGCTTTAGCTTGTATCAGGTATTTCTAAAACAGCCATACAGACTGGAAATAGATCAATAAAAATGCCTGCTTTTAATAACCAACCATGGCTAGCTAAGGACCCACTAATGAGGAAACAAAAAGTGGAATTACTAGATCTAGGAAAACTTGTAGGAACCTAGAGGAAGCGTGTTGACAGAAAAGTTTAATCAAGTTACAGGCCAACTTGGAATCCATTAAACATGATTATCTAGTACTCAGAGCTGTGAGAAATGACTCTGCATTGTCATTACCCAAAGTTGGGATTGCAACAAAAAAGCCCATCAAAGTCATTTGGTAAAGTCATATTCAGAATCCTTAAGTTAAAAGTCTCTCAAAGTAGAAGTCATAGCTTTTTCTCAGAATAAGTTATCCAATATGATTTTAGCATTTATTTCAGTCTACTGATTCTGTCAGTGTTGTGAGATGCCTGATAATGGGAAACAAAATAAGTTCCACTTTGTCTATCACACCGAAGTGACACCGAGCCTCACTCCACTGTACGGGAGGATATTATTTTGCTCCTTGAATACATAATCTGTTTTTAAAAAGTTACTTGAAAAAAGAGGGAAGTAGTCAATATTTATACCATTCTGTTAGTTTCCCTGGCAACCATTAATTTCAAGGAAAATGGTAACAGGGTAATCAATCTGTTTTTATCAACAAATTGTAGGGAAAATAAATAAATTAACAAGAATTTTCTAGCTGTTGAGCCACTCTAGCAAACATTTCCTCAGTATTTTGTGCCACTCTCCAACATAAAACCACTATTTTTTGGTTAAGTTGACTTGAATTTCACAGTTACTCTAGGAGTTGCTTACACTGTCCTAGGATTTAGTTCCATGCACAAGAGTGAAGCACAAAGGCTTTACTTTAAGACTTAATGTTTGTAAGAGCTTTTACATATAACAATGTGAGTGACTTTTAACAAAACAGCAGACGTGAAACTAATACACCGATGCTTCTTGTTGGAACAGGAAAAAGCAGGAAGAAGGAGAGATGCCAGGACGCCGACATGTACCCTCTAGTGGAAACAGAACTATGTCCCTGTGATGTGTTCATATCCCAGCCTTATGGAAACTGGTCAGACTGCATCCTCCCTGAGAGCAGAAGGGAGCCCCGGCGCGGGCCGCGGGTGCGAGGAGCCGGCCAGGGGTGCGGGCCGGGCAGGCGCTTCCGAGCCGTGGC